CTGAGCTGGGCTGCGAAGAGAAGTGGACCTGGGCCCAAGTGGGGTCTGGCAGCAGGTGGGGTCTGCTCAGGGCCTGGGGTGGAGCCTACACCGGAGACAGACTTCAACAGTCGTGTGTGTACCCACTTGGAGAGCAGATAAAAAGATTTCTAAGGTCCGATGAGGCCTCCTGAGACACATCGACTCTTGGCCAGAAAAAAAGTTCAGAAGATTCTGTCAGGGCCACTCTAGGTGTCTGATCTCACTGTGGTCACCCCCACAGGCACTGAGCGGCTCAGGCCTGCCTTCGATAACCCTTCCCTCTCCCTCCCACCTTCCCTTCTTCCCTCCCTCCCTCTCTCCCTCTCTCTCTCCTTCCCTCTATCCTTCCTTCCCTCCGTCCTTCCTTCCCTCCCTTCCTCCCTCCCTTCCTCCCTCCCTCCCTCCCTGCCTCCCTCCCTCCCTCCCTCCCTCCCTCCCTCCCTCCCTTCCTTCCTTCCTTCCTTCCTTCCTTCCTTCCTTCCTTCCTTCCTTCCTTCCTTCCCTCCCTTTTTCCTTTCCTCATTCATTCAACTTAGAAAGAGGCTCTCGATGTATCCCAGGCTGACTGGCCTCCAGCTTGCCACATAGTCAAGGACGACCTTGAACTTGTGATTCTCCTACCTCCTGCTGATGAGGTCACAGTCGTGTTCTACCACACCTGGCTTATGCCATGCTGGGGATGGAAGCCAGGGCCTCATGCATGCCAGACAAGCACTGTACCCGCTGAGATCCAGCCCCAGACTGCTCTTTCTCTTTCTGTGTTCTGACCCTCGCTCTGTAGTTCGGGCTGGCCTCACGCGTCACCCACAGCTGGGCCCAGGTGCCCATCACCACGGACGTCAGCTGTGGATGTTAACGGCGCCCGTGACTCTCGAGCTTTGTTTCCGAACAGAAAGCAAGAGAAACATCCCGGCGCTTGCGCAGGAGCTGGCAGCGGCGTGTGACCGAGTGGACACCACCATCGGTCCATCTCACAGCTGTGAATGTGGAATCTGGACCGGCATAGTGAGCTGCAGGGGTGTGCAAGTCCCCGTTGACCCCTCCTGTCTCCACACCCCCTCTTGTGTGTGTTGAGACTGGCAGCCTGGCACAAGTCACCGGTCAAATTAACTCAAGTTTCCTTTGGGGAAAAATATCATCAGTTATTTCATTTGGGTCCATTTTAGCGAATTAACTCATCCAGTATTTTCTCCTTATTTGTTTTAATGGGTCGAGGGCGGAATGTGGAAACAGGAGGCTCACGCCATGGCCTTGGGGGCAGCCTTCCCAGCTTTTCCCTCACGACAAGCCCTCATCTCTGTCGGGAACTTGGGGGAAATGCTGCTTCTCTTGGGCTATGGGGATATAAGCGGGGTTGCATAAAGCGTGAGGACCTGAGTTCAAACCCTGAGCATCCACGTAAAAGCTGGACAGGGTAGTACATGTCTGTAACTTCAGTGTGTGTGGGGGGCGGGGGATGAGAGAGAGGAAATCCCTGGGGTTCTCTGGCCAGTCAGTTCTGGCAATTGGCTAGTCCCGGGCTCAGTGAGAGACCTTGTCTCACAAAATAAGATGGAGGAGCAGCGGGACGCCCAGCAGGTAAACGCGTTGGTGACCTGATGGTGAGTTTTTATCTCCAGGATGAAGTTGGTGAAGGGAGAGAGAACTGACGTCTGAGAGTTGTACTCTGACCTCCAGATGGTGTGCTTTGGCACGTACACAGCATAAATAAAAAGGCAATAAAAATATTATAAAATAATAATGTGGAAACACCAACGTCGACCTCCGGTTTCAATTTCTTTTTCTCTCCAGCTTTAGCGTTTGTTGGGAACTCACCGACAGAGTCCTGAGAAGCCAGCAGGATCCTGGTTGTTTGACCTGACAGCCAGGTCCTTCCAGCTGGCCTCCTTTGGACCACGCAGGAGCCCGGGAGGTGTGGCCAGATGACCTCCTGTGACCTTGCGCGGCTCAGGCACCCGCGTCTCCCCTCCCACTTCCCATTGAATCTGACTCGAGACTGTCTATTTTTTCGCCCACTACCTTTCAACTCAAGTTATGGTTTTATAAATAATATATACTGCAAGCCGGGCTGGGGAAGGACGTTCATTCTGCCCTGAAATATTTATAGCCCACAGTGTCTGCTTTCTTTGCCTCGGAGTCATTTTTTAGAGTGGCGGGTGGAGAGAGACCGCGCCAGGCACATCCTTGACAGCGGCACCTGGAGGAGGGTCCTTTCAGCCCAGCTTCGGGCTGATCTATCCTGTGGCCCTGGAAGGGACGCAGCAGTTGTGCCTGGGGACACTTCCTTGGCCCAGAACTCTTAAATCATCTCAGATGGCTCAGCGCTGTGACAGACTTAGCGCCGCTGTCCTGGGGATGGACGGGCTTTGTAACATGTGTCTGGAATAATAACACAGTGCATCAGGAGTTGGGATCCGTCTGGAATCCTGAGTCCTGTCCTGGCAGGTGGGTGCTAGAACTAAGTACTTTACAGAAGGGGAGAGGAGGCAAGCACAGAGGGCAGGGCACACGTGATGAGTAACAAAGCTGCGTGTGTCTGTCTGCTTTCCTGTGGGGGTGACTACAGTGTGACTGGACACGTATGCTATCCCTGATGGAATCCCTTCTTGTTTAATGTTGTTTTCAGTTCTAGGGATTGAATCCAAGGCCTCCCTATGCTAAACTATTAAACCATGCTTCTAGCCCCTCACTGGGGGTTCTAGGCAGGGGCTCTACCACTGAGCCACACCCCAGCCCCTCACTGGGGGATTCTAGGCAGGGGCTCTACCACTGAGCCACACCCCAGCCCCTCACTGGGGGATTCTAGGGAAGGGCGTGGAGGCTGAAAAGGTGCTGAAATAGTCAGGAAGGCACTGTGGCCCTCTCAACTCTGTTAGCCACTGCTGTGTGGGCCTGAGGTATTTACCCTGGGCAGGTGGCACAAGTGTAGTCCCAAAATGTGGGAGGTTGAGGCAGGGGGATCATGAGCTTGGGATAAGGAAGGAAAGGAGGATGAAGGAAAGGAGGAAGAAAAGATAGAGGAGAAAAGGAGGAGGAAGAAGAGAAGATGGAAGAGGAACAGGAGGAAGGAGAGGAATGAAGAGTTTTGTTTTTTGATACAGGGTTTCTCTGTATAACTCTTCTGGCTGTCCTGGCATAGCTCTGTAGACGAGGCTGGCCTCAGACTCACAGAGATCCACCTCCCTCTGCCTCCCAAGCACTGGGATTGAAGACATATACCACCATCACCATGGCTGTTATATTTAGCTGATGGGAACCCAGGTGTCCTCTTTTCTGACAGGCGGTCTGAATGTAGGCAGACCCTGACTCAACCCTCCAGTCCTTCTGGGGTACCTTGGAGTCATCCTTCCTCCATATGTCTGGGAAGAGGTGCAAGCCCCACCCACACACCTCCAGATCTGGTCACACCCAAATAAAGAGGAACTGAAATGAAGAAGCAGAGCCCCTGAGTTCCAGAGCGGGGGTCAGATGGATCCACAGGGAGGGTCACTTTAAACACAGGGCGTAAGTATGAGTCTCCTGCGTGTGCGTGAGGAGCCAAACACTCGTCACAGAAGATAGTCGCAGGAGAACTGAAGATGGGAGCGTGATTCCACCAAGGCGCGGTGTACGCATCGCTAGTGGATACCTGCGTGGGCTTCTCAATCACGGGAGAAATTAATAACCTGAAGCTGGAGACAGAGGCTTCCAGAAGGGACATGATGCCTGTCTCTCTTCTTATAGCTCTGTCTCTCCTCCCCATTTCCTCTCTCCCTCTCTTCCTCCCTTCCTTCCATGCTCCTCTGTGTGTTTGTGCGTGTGTGTTCTGCGTACATACATAAGCACATGGGGGCCAGAGACCTACCTCTCTCCAAATTATTTTTTGAGACAGGGCCTCTCACCAAACCTTCAGCTCACCAGTTCGGCTAGACTGAGCAGCGGGATCTGCTGACCTCTACTTGATCTGGGGCTATAGATGTGCCCCCATGTACAGCGTTTTACCCAGGGTTGGGGATTCAAACCCAGATCCTGAGGCTTGTGTAGCAAGTGTTTACTGACTGAGCCACCAGCTGGACACAAAGCAGGTTTCAAAGCATCTACTGCTGTTCCAGTTCTCTGGAGGAGAGGCGAGGGCACGGGAGTCAAGTAGATAACCACCATATAAACAGTGCTTATGCACTGTGTAGATTCAGTATATTTCACAAATAATTTCACCAAAAACCTCAGACACAGAAGCAGGAAGGTGGCCCAGTCAGCGAGAATAACGAGTTTCTCTCTAAACAAATAAATTGGGATGGCACCCAAATCAGTAGGAAAGACGAATCGGTCCTTTTGAATTTGGGCTTTTCCCCCAGATAGCATTGACTTCTGCAGACAGTGTAGGCAATATCTCCACCTAAGAGCTTCATTTCATCTTAAGAGTCTCTTTGAACTAGGCATGGTGGAGGCGCACTCCTACGTCACCACGGTAGGCGCTGGGAGATGCTTCCGCTGGTAAAGTATTTCTTTTGCATGAGGATCTGAGTCTGATTCCCCAGAGCTAACTTTGTAAAAAGTTGAATTTTTTTCATATATATAAAAGCATGATAGCACACACCTTTAATCCCAACACTCAGGAGGCAGAGGCAGGCAGATCTCTGTGAGTTCGAGGCCAGCCTGGTCTACAGAGCAAGTGCCTGGACAAGCTCCCAAGCTACCCAGAGAAATCCTATCTTGAAAAACCAAAGCTTCATTTCCCTCTTGGTGCCTAGGTTTTGGCCACAGGTCCTATTTTTCTTTCTTCTCCGTCTCGTTGCTCTTATCCTATTAATTTTCTCAGGACTTTTTTTTTTTTTTGGATGGGGGAATTTCTTATCTTTTGCTGGTTTCCTGCCAAGAGCTCATTGCTCCTGGGTACGTGTACAGTCTCCAGTCACAAGCATCCCGAGGCAGGGAACTCCTTCCTTCTCCACGGCTTCCTTATTTGAACATTTCCTTCCCCGAAGCCTTTCACCACTGTTCAGAAATCTGGGACAGAGACCAAGGCCCAGTGACACCCTCTCCTTTGGCAGATGTTGACAGATAACAGCTGGATCCTCCTCACAGGAAAAAGGCTTCCGTGTCTCACACCTTGTTACTGCTGTTCACTCCAAAGCCGGTTCGCCTCCCTCCTATCTCTGCAGCAGCGTGAGGACTTTGGAAACTTGGGGAAATGTGTGTCTAGGACTTTGGGTGGGCTCAGATGAAAGGCTGACGGGCCAGGGGAGGCAGCTCAGTCAGCCATGTGTAACGTTCTTTTTATCCCCATATCTCACATTTAAAAAAGACAAACAAGCCAGGCATGCTTGTTTGAGATTGTAGTCCCAGAGCCTGCAGACAAGCAGATCCCCGGGGCTCACTAGACAGGCAGGAGATGTGGCTCAATTGATAGAGTGCTTGTCTAGCACACGCAAGGTCCTGGGTTCGATCCCCAGCGCCCTATAAATTAGTTCTGGTGATTCAGTCCTCTAACCCCAGCACTTGGGAGACGGAGGCAGAGGGATCAGAAGTTCTAGGTCATCCTTAGCCACAGAGTCAACGTAAGGGCAGCCTGGGTTACATGAGACTCTGTCTCAAAACAAAAATGAAGCAAACTAAGGGTGGACAACATCAAAGGAATGACACCCAAGGGTGGCCTCTGGCCTTCACCCATATGCACACATATGTGTACTTGCACATACATAAACAGGTATGTACAGAGAGAACACAGACATACACATAGAGACAGACAGACAGACAGAGACAGGCAGAGACACACGCAGAGGCAGAGAGTGTGAGATGGGGGAAAGGTAGGAAGCTGGACCTGGACTTCTGAGGGATCTTGAAACAATAGATAAGGCAGAGTGTGGTCTCCGGGTTCTATGAGGCCCAGGCTGACTTTGCAGACTTCTGAGAGGTGTTACCCGAGGAGGAGGAGAGTAGAGGAAGTAGGTCATTAAGGGTGGGTCTTCAAAGACTTGTCTGCCTGGAATTCCTCACTCACTGTTGCTCCTCTTTCTGCTTCCTGTTTTTCATGAAGGGTGCAGCTTCCTGGGTTTTCCATCACATTACTCTGCCTTGCCTCAGGCAAGACAATGGAGCCGTCTAACAATGGACTGATTCCGTGAGTCAGAACAAACCTTTCTTTGTTTCACATGTTTGTATCAGGTGTTTTGTTACGACAATGAAAGGCCTAACAACGTGTTTGGAAACTTCCTGGTCAGAGGACTGTAGACGTAACTTGTTTCCCTTCCTGTCTCCATTTCCTGAAAAGATTTTTTTTTTTAATTTATGGGTGTGAGTGTGTGTCTGTGTATGCCGTGTCTGAAGAGGCCAGAAAAGGATGTCAGACCCCCTGGAGCTGCCTGACTGTGGAACTGAACCAGGGTCCTCTGGAAGATCAGCAAGCACTCTTAACCACTGAGCCATCTCCTCAGACCTAGTCCCCCATTTTTAAAGACTCCAGAATGCTGACAGCTTAAAATACTCACACCATGTTGTTCACAGCAAAGACATCGGCTTGTGTTATGTTTCTGTCCACTCTCTTTCTCATTTTTCCCTGTCTGCATCTGTCATTGGAACTCTTCCACTGTCGTCGTTGAGAATATTTGCCTTTTTAGCCTTAAACTTTCCTTAGCCCCGTCCATAGGCTGAGTAGGAAAACTGGAACTAAACAACGTGTTTGTTGCTGGGAATATGTGAGTGCTGCCTACTGGGAAACTCGGTGGTCTGTGAGCATGGTTTGTTTTGTTGCTGTGGCCTTTGAAGGGCTCTAGCAGGCCTGATCGTGGCAAGCATGGCTCTGGCAAACCTTGCCCTGCCCCCATTCCCTCTGCCTTGCTAAACCATTAGATCGTGTTTCTAAAGCTAGCCACCAAGGTCTATCCCCTTATTTGGCTACTTCTTCCTCCTGAGGCTGACCACCAAGATCCAGCTATCAAAGTTCTGAAGTCCAGCAATCAAGGGCCCTCTTTTGGCTCACCTAATTAACATGTCCAAGCAAAACAAAACAACTTGTTGGTGTTAGCCTCTCCCACCCTGGAGGTGGCAGTAAATATTCCTTCCCCCTCTTCTTTGTTCCTTTTTCCTTCCCCCTCATCCTCTATCTCCTGTCTTTGTCTCTTATTCCCTGTTCTTTGTCCCTCTGGGGCAAACAAATCTTTGTGCTGAGAACTTGGCCTTGGTATGTCTTGTGCTAACGCTGGTCTTTTCAGCTTTTCCTCCTGTTCTTATTCATGACACAGATTCTAAATGTTCTTTTGCTTCGATTAGTTGCCTTTTAAGTTGTTCTAAAGTTTCAGGAAAAGTATCAGATCTATAAAATCCTCCGTCCTCCCTGGACTCTTTCTCACTGCCGTTTTGCTCTCATGTATCCTCTTTGCTAATCTGGATCCTGTCATCCAGGGCTACTCTTTGTTATTCCCCTGGGCTGGGCCACTTTTGTGTGAATCCCATTTCCTTCTCTTTCTTGAATTGTTTATTCTTTCCTTCCTCTGGAAGGAATTGACAGGTGTTTTGAAAGTTTGCAAGTCTCAAAATCCACCTGTGGTGCTGGCTAATTTAGTTGGGTATAGAATTCAGGGTTGCTGGCTAGTTTAGCTGGATATAGAACAGGCATACGCTACTATGTCCCACGACTCTTCATTTTTTTCCCCTCTCCTTCCACGTGATTCATATACCCAAGGACCTGTTGGAGTCCAGGAGCCTCTACTGTGGAGGGTCTCCAACCAAGTATCAGGTCATTTGCAGATCTTGCTAGTACATGGTTTTCAGACACAGAAAGACAAATACCATGAAAGACAAGTATCACGTGTGTTTACTTGTATAGAAACAAAATAGTTGATCTCAGAGGAGAAAAGGTATGATAGTGATTGCTGAAGATTAGAAAGTGGCTAGAGAAAAGAGAAGATTGAATACCAAAATATATTTCCAAAATACAGTCAAATGGGAGAATAAGTTCTGGTGCCCTACAGCACAGTAAATTGACTATCATTTACAATGACTTATATATTACATGTATAGAATATTATAATATATATGTAAATGTTCTGATATTGATGGTTTAATATATGCACAGTTCTAAATATACAATATACAGGCTTGTGCATGTAGGGCTCTCATGATTATTATTATTATTTTTTTTTTTTTAGATTTTTGAGGCAGGGTTTCTCCATAGCTTTTTGGTTACTGTCCTGGAACTAGCTCTCGTAGACCAGACTGGCCTCGAACTCACAGAGATCTGCCTGCCTCTGCCTCCTGAGTGCTGGGATTAAAGGCGTGCGCCACCACCTCCCGGCCCTCTCATGATTATTCTTTCACTGGGACACCTCTGCCATCTTTACTCACCAGCTACTGCGAGAGTGAAGAAGGTTCATGAAGGTAGTCTGCCTTGTTTGGATAGGAGAGTGGGGATACATTAGGGTATGTATGGAGAGCCGGATTAAAGAGGCAATGATGTTGGCATACATTCTAGAGCACAGAGAACTCCTGGAGCCTTAGTTTGACTACTTCAGCCAAAGCCTTACCTGGAAAAGAGTCCAGATGGCTGGGAGATCCATCTCTGTGCATGGTGGTTACCTACTCAGAGTGCAGCTGGACAGCTGACATCCCAGGGTGTGTGAACTTGGCTGTTTTATGGTAAAAATAAATGTTATTGTAAAACATTGCAGGTCCCCGAGTAGCAGCAGTGGGCAGTGGGAATGAGACTACGGTGGTCCACAAAGGCAGCTGGTCCCAGGCAGGTAGATAGAGGCAGAGATCTATTAGAGATCTATCACCATACAGAGTGAGGTTGGATATTTATTTAGTGGGGTTATGGAGGGGAAAGGGGGAAGGGGAGAAGGGAGAAGAGCAGAGAGAGAGAGAGAGAGAGAGAAAGAGAGAGAGAGAGAGAGGAGGAGGAGGAGGAGGAGGAGGAAGAGGAGGAGGGAAGGGGAAAAGTAGGGAGAAGGGAGAGAGGAAGAAGCTGCCTCTTTGGGAGAGAGACAGAAAGGAAGGAACTCAGGCTGGAAGTGGAAGGAAGATCTGCTTGCCTCAGCAGACAGGGGCAGGAATGGGCAGGGCTTGTCTCTTAAAGGGACAGACAGACCATTACATTCTTATCTCTTTTTTATAAAAAAAAAAGGTGGGAGGTTAGCACAACAGGTTAAAGGAATTGGGATGGTGGATTCTCAAGACTGCTTTCTGCTTATTTGTGGGTGTCGTCTTGTGGGGAGGGGCCTGAGAAAACTGGGTGCTGGTCACATCCTGGCGTAGCTGGTCTCTTTGCTCCTGTCTGGTGTTTGTGGTATGAAAATGTCTGGTGTCTCTTATACCTGTTTAAGGTATTGGCAGAACAGAGGACAAAGTTAAGCTTTAGGGCCAGGGAATTGAGGGGGGTGTATTTGACCTGTTTAAGGTGGGTCCTTCAATTCAACTCCCTGGAACTCACAAGAATTCTTTTGGCTTGTGAAAACATCAGAATGACTGTGACAGATGTTTTTGCACAATGAAAAGTGTTTTTAAGACTATGGAAGGTAGTTTGAGAGAGATTTGATATCTAGTACTTGTTGAAATTTATTTGGTGAGACTGTCCTTTTAAACAACAAAACCTCTCATCTGTCAAACTGCATCAGAGGTCTTTGAGAAAGATAAAATTTTACTTGAGTTATTGATTAAAAAACAACAGAGAACTTACTTGGTTGGCACCTATGGTCGCTGAGGGTCATATATGCCTTTTGCTGTTTAGCACAGGGCCTGCCAGGCTCCAGATGATCCCGTGGGCTAAGAAATCTGTTAGAAAACAGGCCTACCTTGACCTGAGCAGCTAGGCTGTCGATTCCAGCAATTCTGTCCGCTGACTGGTGATCTTCAGTTTAGATGAAAGGCAGTTTTGCCCAGTGATCAGCACTTGACAGTTGAAGCGAATTATGGATGGACATTGCTTTTTGCCCATTTCTTTTCTGTCTTCTTTGGAGGAAGTAGAGTGCTGCTGCTAGGAGCCAACCTGTCTTTTTTTGTTATGAAAAGTCTTTTAATAACTAAATAGTTAAATGCCATATTCCCCGGATCGCTGAGCAGTCGAGGGCTGTTTACTGGGTATAGATGAGCTATAACTACAGTATAGGAACTGCCTGGAGAGCTGAGACCAAGCTTGACCATACCAGCTGTCAATTTAACACGTAAAGCAGGGATGGATTAAGAGACTTAAAAGTACATACCAATTTAAAATATGAGACTTATTGTTTTGTAGTTTGGAATGAGATACAATGAACAGACAATTATAACATTTAACAGTAAACATAGGTGTATTTAAGTTACATGTATGTACACATAGAATGAACAGGAATTGGGCAAAGTGGATGCTTTTGGTGGGTCCTACCAAAGGCATGCCACTGCACAAAACACACATGCAACAGAGCCAGCACCAGGGAACCAGGCAGGAAATACCTCATTAAAGATGGCAGGACTTGGTCACCTGACCTGGTGGTGAAGTCACCTTACCTCACTTAAGATGGTGGTAAGATCACCTGACCTCAGTCAAAATGGCAGCAGTCACCTGTTGCATGAAGAAGCCAATTTTTTTGAGACACATGAGTTTTAAACATAATAACAAGAGGGACCTAGAGGTGTGATCTGCCCTGTTGCTGAGCCATCACGCCACAAGCTGCGGTGGGGAGCTAGAATTGAAAACAATTGCCTCATGGACTTGCCTAATCTTGTCATTTCCATGGGACCAGCAGTAGCGGTGGCAGGGACAGTTTGAGGAAAAGCAGAGCCGGTGGGACACCAGCAGAGCATTCATAGGCAGGTGGCTGAAGTTTGAGGGTTTACACCATAGCTGAAAGTGTGAAAACCCGCAAAAAGACCACAGGGCCTATAGCAGGACGGCTCGTCTCCATAAGCAGGGTGTTGGTAAAACGGCGACACTGCAAAGCCTGTAGGAATGTGTCTCTTCTTTGTAGGCGGGGTGTTGAAGCCTGACTGACTCCGGTCCGGGCAACTCAGAAGCTAGAGGCTGCTCTGAGCAGTCTCTCATGGCGGGGACCACTTCTGAGTGGTCCAAAAGAAAAGAAAAAAAGAAAGGAGACAGAAAAACCCAAGGGACTGGGGCCCCAAATCGCATGCACCACATGCACCATACAG